CAGCCTCTTCAGACTGTGCAATCTTTCAGCAGGAACTCCCTCTCCTCAGTGGCTTTGAATCTTAAGCTTCTACAGGGAGAGTGGTAGAACTGGATCTTTTCCTAATCCCATTGAGTTGTGCTTTTCTTTTTTACTTCATACTGCAGGACCCCTTCCCCAGCAGCAGAGACCCTGGAGCACAGAAGAGTAGGGAGGAGGGGTTCTGGGTCCATCACTGCCCTACATGTGACTATGTCCAAGTTAAGCCCCCAGCATGAGAGGAGAGCTGCTGACTCCCAGCTATAGCCATGGGCACTTGGTCCCCTGCTTTCCTGCTCAGCAGAGCCCCTCCCTTCAGAGATTACGGGTACTTGCACTGGGGAGGTGGCTGCTGGCTGGCCCAAGCTGAGGCATCCAAGAAATGTTCCATTGGAGGTGGGGGTGCCAGGTGAGGTGGAGCATTCCTTGTATTCTGGCAGCACTGAAGAGCCACTGAAGGGGGGTAGGGGCAGTGTAGGTAGGTCCTGGGGCAGCCCCCTTTATTCCTTTATGCCCCTTCTCCCCCAGAGCCTATTTCTAAAGTCGCCTTTTCTGTCAGATGATAAACCTCAAAACTTTTAATTTTATTTGAGATTTTTTTTTTTTTTGCTTTTAAATAAGAGGTGGATTGAAGAATATTTGAATTGACTTTATATTATGCATAAATATTTATATTTTATCTAAATAACTGCGCTGTAACAAACTTTGTGTTAGACAGTTGAAACTGAGTTGGGGGCTCCACTTTTTCCCCCTGGCAGTTGTCCCCGGGTATAAGATGTGCTAGATTAATTCCATTGTTGGAGGTGAGGTGGATAGGGGAGTGAAGTCTCCATGGTTCCTACTTTGTGTTCCTCTCCCAGCTCCATCTCTTTCGCTAGGGACCAGGCACTCATATGGTAGGGTGGGGTCCTAGCCTCAGTTTGAAGTGGGGGCTAGACAGGGGGTGGGGTGGGGTGGGGATAGGACATGATCGAAGGGGCCATTTCTTGCTTTTCTTTCCTCATCTTCACTGCCCCCTTGAGCTAGGTGGATTTTCTCTTCACGACAAGAGTATTTGGTAGGGAAAGCAGGTTTAAAATAAAAAGACAACCCACCCCCTGCCCTTTTGCTCCCCGCCCCATCGGTCTGGTTGACAGGAAGAAACCACACCGTCAACACCAACAAGTTTCCATGTTCCTTTTACAGCAAAAGGGACTTTTTATATAACCAAATGTGGTGTTTTAGTGACTTTTTGATAATGTACAGTTTTTTGTGAATTTAAATTTATTTCTTTCTATATTTTTAGGACCAATCTCATTTTTAATAAGGTGAAAAAAAAGTCTAGAGAAAAAAAAACTCCTGTTTTTGCCATGTGATGTTCCACAAGTGCAGCTGTAGAAAAGTGCTTGTCAGTTGAATAAAAAAAAAAAACCACATTTGATAGAGATTCAAAAGACTCTGTGTATTCATCTTCCCTTCTACACACCTGAGGGGGAGATGGGGTTGGGATGGGTATGACTGGCTTAAGAGACCACAGGTGGGGGAACAACACGCTCGCCTTTTCTGTACAAACGGCACTAGAAGCCAGACTCCTGTCCCACACCCTGTTTGTGGATAGAAAGGGATATTAGTGCTCCTGCCTAAATGTCTGGCTGAGTTGCTGGAGCAAAGTGGGATTCAGTGCACCTAGGTCCTGCTTTGTGAGATGTGGCCCCAGCTTTCTAAGCCGTCACCTGTGTTCTGTCATAGCAAACACGGGCCCATCACCAGCTTCCCACTTCCCACTCATGGATAAGACACCAAGACGTTGACTTTTGTGTTTTATTAAAAGACAAAGTTTGACGTAAGACAAAAATGGACCTCTACCAAATTGTAGGGAAGGAGAAGGAGAAGACCAGGGGTAGAAAAGGAAGAGTAAGTTAGAATGGTGGCCTTGGCATAGATGTGGGAAGTACATAAAACTAGTCTCCAGACAAAAAGATGTACAAAATGTGTAAGTATAAACATTTTCTGTCCACATGTGTCACCAGTGTGACACACGGAAAAGAGTATTCACCCACCCAAAAAGGGTGTGTGTTGGAGTGGAGACTTCACTCAGGCTAGAAAAGTATTACCCTCCAGCCTGGAAAATTTGTCTTGGTGAACACCCAGAAGTGCGTACTAAGGTAGAGGAGGAACATTTGCTTCCAGCCTTGTATCACAAACCTCCTCTTTGGTATTTGGTTACCTTCACAGCTGTTCACCAGCCACTGACCAGCTTTCTTGTCCTCCAAGTTCTAAGCTCTCCTCCTGTGCTGATGTCCTCCACCCATTACTTATTACCCTAAGCAGTCACTGCACAGCCTACTCCCCTGGCCTATCACAGCAGGACCTATCTGGAGAGTTCACACTACTCTAGGGTGATCAGTGAGCTAAAAATCCCAGAGAAAACTTTCTAGGAATGAAAATTCCCAAGAGTTTTTACATTTAATTATGAGCCTTTTCTAGTCCCCAGCTTCCCAACCCTCATAGAGAGAAGGAAAGAAATAGGTAAAGAAGGAAAGAAATAGGTAAATCAGGTATTTATGCCCTTGTTGAATTGTGAGATTGTGAGGTAGATGTGTAACAAGGACAAGGAAATTGGGGGATCTGCTTGGAGAATGCAGATTTATTCAAAACAAGTGGGCAGGTCAGGGGTAACTGGAGGGAGGAGGGCACCTAGCTTTTGTCTAGTTATGTGGGGACTGTGCCCTGGAAGGAGCAGCAAGGATCAGAAGGGAGATGGAAGCTCACAGTCTGGTTTTAGCTGCCGACTCCTATGGGAGGCCTACCAAATGAGGAAATTTCAGGAATCTGCTAATGCTTGGGAGGATTGAAAATGCAGGCAGCACAGAAATAGAGTAGTTAGTTTAAAAGGGAATCTGGAAGGATTTGGTATAACAAGGCACACGGTTTGGAATTTACCCTTTACAGACTGGCTTTTATAACACCCACCCTCCTCTCTGAGGCCTGCTCATTCAGGGCTAGCAGAGCCTTGGGGCAAGGTTGGGCCAGATCACCCACCCAAGTTTACTGCTCTTGGCTAAGAATGCAAAGCCCCTCATGAGTGCAATGTTGTCACTTTCCCAGAAGGTGGGGCATGTGCACAAGACAGTGGCAATATTTCTTTTCTAGAAGACTAGTAGTCACTGCTTCTAGGGGGATCCCTACCATTCCAGCAGGGCCTGTCACAGCATCTGTAGGATGCAAAGTAACAGCTCACGTGCAGGCCTCAACTCCCACTGGGTTGACATTGGAGTGACAGGGAGTAGGCACTGGAGACATTGAGAGTGAATGAGCTCACTGACTGGCAAGTTAGGAAAGGAAAGGGAATGGAATGGAGCTGAAGTGGCCCAACCTAAGCATGGCCTGTGAAGCAGCAATGTCTAGTCTTCGTCCTCAGTATGAGTTCTGCCACTCCCTGTGTGTTACTGAAAAGGTCTATTACCCTTTAGAGCCACCAGGCTTCCTAGCCTGGGCAACTCTTCAAATTCTTTTGACTAAAGACACTACAAAGGGCCGGGTGCGGTGGGTAATCCCAGCACTTTGGGAGGCCAAGGCAGGCAGTTTATTTGAGCCCAGGAGTTCAAGACCAGCCTGGGAAATGTGATGAAACCTTGTGTCTACTAAAAATACAAAAATTAGCCATTTGGAGGTCAGGAGTTAGAGACTGGCCTGGTCAACATGGTGAAACCCCATCTCTTCTAAAAATAGAAAAATTAGCCAGGCATGATGGCGGGCACCTGTAATCCCAGCTACTCAACTGAAAAGTCCAGGCATGGTGACTCTTGCCTGTAATCCCAGCACTTTGGGAGGCTGAGGTGAGGGGATCATTTGAGCCCAGGAGTTCAAGACAAGCCTGGGCAACATGGTGAAACCCCATCTCTACTAAAAATAAAATTAGCTAGGCATGGTGGTATACCACTACTTGGTGGTGGGGGAAGGGGCACCTGAGGCAGGAGGATCACCTAAGCCTTGGGAGGTCGAGGCTCCAGTGAGCCAGGATGGTACCACTGCACTCCAGCCTGGGCCACAGAAGGAGAACCTGCCTAAAAAAAAAGCCCCAAAACATTAAAAGTAACATCTCATCCAAGCATAAAGGATCATACCTATAATCACAACATTTTGGGAGGCTGAAGTGGGAGGGTCACTTGACTGGTGTTCAAGACCAGTCTGGGCAACACAGTAAGACTCCTGTCCCTACAAAAAACTTAAAAAACTAAATGAGCGTGGCAGTACGTGCCTGTAGTTCCAGCTACTTGGGAGGATCCCTTGAGTACAGAAATTCAAGACTGTAGTGGGCTATGACTACACCACTGCACCCCAGCTTGGGTGACAGAGTGAGACCATCTCTAAAAAATAAAAACATCTCTCTCCATTATCCCCACATCTTCCTGACCTCTCCTGGCACCCTCCTCCAAAAAGTCCAATCAGTTTAGGCTCTGAGTATCAACTCAGAGCCTGAGCTGTGGAGTTATAACACTGGACAGAGATGGCTAGGCAGGCTCAGAGCCTGTAAAGGATTGCGCCATCTGAGGAAGGGACTCGGTATGTTCTATTTGACTGAAAACAGAAAAATGCCAAGTACTAAAATATTTTAAGAATGTTATGAGCATCTGTAATGAGTCAGGGTGAGATGTAAAGTACAAAGAGAGTAAGATCTGAGCTCCGTGAAGACAGGATTCAGAAAACACTAGGCGTAGTGTTTAAGAGCCCAACCCTAGGCTGTAAGCTGGAAGGCTCCTCCACAATTCCTCTGCCATCACCCCAACCAATTAGACTATTTCATGGGAGAAACAGTATCCCTCCTTTCCTCCAAACACTCATCCACTGTTAACAAATGAACTAACAATTAGATGGGAACTAACAATTAAATGAGTGTCAACCCAAAGCACCAAAATGGAAATTCCTCAGTGCCATTAGCCACTGCAAAATAACTTGAGGCTCCCTATCACTTCCCACGCCCAAACCAGAAACACATGTAATACAATCTAACAAGTAGTTTCACATGAGAAGTCCAAAAGGTAAATTCAAAATTTAAAACAAAAAATTAGAGCCATTTAAACATTTTTTTAAATACAGAGAAAGAAGACAGAATCAGGAGTTCTGTGAGGCAGAGGAGAGGGGAGTGGCCCTATCGACAATGGTCTCCATGCATGAAAGGCCCTTCCTAAACCTCCTACCATACATAGCAAAGCTGCCCCCATCTATCAAATGAACAGATTTCTAGATTTTCTCTCAAAGGCCACTGACAAGAAAGCAGCTATGGTATATTTTTCTTGACTGACAGCTGGAGACTCAAAAACAAAAGCTATCTGCCCAGCCAAAGCCCTCTAGAAGGTAGAAGGTAGTGGGCTTGGGGCTGTTTTACACTGGATGACACCCTCCTGAGGCCGGAAGCAGCAATAGGAAGACCACAGCAATTCTGTCCTTTACATTCTATATCCTGCCCATTGCCTCACACTCCCTCACCCCCAGATGTACATAGAAAGTCGACACTAGGGGGCACTGGGACTCTCAATTCTGGGTTGGCTGGGAAGGGAGGGAAAGCTGGGCCAAGCTCTACGTGCAACAACTGATACTACAGTTTCTTCTTTCCTGCTGTCACCCCCTTCCTCTCCCTCTGGCCCACCTAATGAACACCTGTCTCTCTATCCTTCATCATTTGCCTTTGTTTGACTTGTTTGGTGGAGAGACACCTGGCCTTGTAGAACAGGGGAGTGGAATTTTCCTTTCAGTGCGTAAGGGAGTGACTGGGAGAAGACAGGAGCAGGGTTTTACTTCCTAGAAGATGGGTGAGGCTTTTTTCAATCTGTCTCCCTGTGTATAAAGTCACATCTTGCAGAAGGGAACATTTAAAGACCAAGACATAGGCTTTTTAAAAGGACTCCTAACCTCATAAAGAGTTGGAATTTATTGCTCTTTTCTACCCTCGCTCCCTGTTGTCCTTCCATAAGAAGGAAAATTATTTCTGATGTCCTAGTTCCCCGGGCATGGGGTCCAAGCACACCAGGGCAGGGCAGGTCGCTCTGGACGGTTTAGAGAGCTTTGTCCTTTCCCACCGTTGCACAGCATATACCAGAAGAGTGCCCACCTGAATCCTTCTGAGCACGTGTGTGCACTCAGCATGGAGCCACAACTCTTTCAAGGATCACTCTTGCTATATGCAGAGGTATCAAAGGTCAAAGTCTGGGGAGAATCCTAGGATCTCAGTCTGGTCCTTCCTAAACAGCTGCATGAGTGTCAAAGGCACCGTTTATCCAGGGTTTGGGTGAGCATTTACCCTAACCCAGGAGGCAGGGACGACACTGTCTATACCAGTGTTTCCCAAACTTGGCAATACTGACCTCTGGAGTCAGATAATTCCTGGCTGAGGGTAGGGGGGACTGTACTATGCAGTGCGGGATGGTCAGCAGCAACCCTGGTTTCCAGCCACTAGATGCCAGCAGCACACACATCTCGCCTCCAGGCGTGGCAATCAAAAATGTCTAGATGTTGCCAAAGGCCTCTGAGGGACAAAACCGCCTCTGGTTGAGAACCCCTGGTCTGAGGTGAAGCAGCAGGTCTTCCACAGTGCGGAAGGAGCCTATGTGGATTCAACTAGGTCACAGCTGCAAAGGCTCTAAGCACGGCAACGTGCACAGGGAAGAGAAGGGCCGTGAAGCCCGGGACAGACAGGAGGCAGGTAAGGCAGGTACTCCCAAAAGCTGTAGCTGGAAAAGACATTTCCTCAGAATCTGTTGCCCTTGGCAGTGAGAAGAGTTGGTCAAAGTAAGTCCATTCTTCTGGAACTTGCCAGGGAAGACCTAGTCTTCAACCAAATTTGGCTCAAGGGTGTGTTCCCAGGGCTGTGGAATTGCCTCATTAGTAAGCCTGGGTCACATCTGTGCTTTCTGAAGCCAGTCTAGTTTTTTCTCCCAGGAGGTGGCGGCGTGGAGGAAAGAACAGCCGCTTCCATGGCCCACTTGGTGTTCTGCCTTGTTCCTTGCCCAGCCTGCCCACCCCGCCCCAAATCCCACATGAAATTTCATTTTTAAATATCCATAAAATTAAAAGCTGTAGAAGGGCAAAGTAGGCAGCCTCAGCTGTTTAGAAAAGAGGAAAAAACAATCTGGAAAAGAGAAGGAATAACATGGGTGAAGAGGAGACGGGGTGTGTGAGCTGAGAGTTTTACAAAACAAAAATTTTAAAGTCTGCACACTTTTAAAAAGACATACACACACACATCAAAAAAGCCCATCACCAAGCCCGGTAAGCAGGGCTCCCACATCAGTGCTCTAGCACCACGACTTTCTGTTTTGTTTTGGGTTTTAAAGAAATCATTACAAATTGTTTTAAAAGCATCCCCAAATAATTCCAATACATCAAACGCTTTTTCATATAGACGAGAAGCAGCTCCAACCACCGTGTCTCTTCAGGGTAGGGAACAGTACATTGCAGTTAAAAACAAAAAACTTTCCTTGCAAAAGAAAAAAATGTTTTGGATCTCCTTGAATGTGGTACACACAAAAAGTGATGGTTCCCCCAGGCTCCATCAGCAATGGAGAAAGAGCAGAGGGCAGGAACGTAGAGATTTCTTTTTCCAGGCCCAGGCCTGTGAAAAACGATGGCTAAGTGTTAGTCCTTAGCAGGGCCGACAGATGGTCTGCATTCCTGGTTAACCCTCTGGAATCTGGGAGCATGAGTATCTCCAAGAATTCATTTCTATTCAGTAAAGATGGGGAGGGGAATCCTAAAGAAGGCATAAGCCGGAGAGGAGACAAGACAAATATGAGAACCTGTGTGACTTCAGGCCGGGCTGAGCTGCTGTTTGCCAACACAGCCTTCCCTGGCCCCCGCATGTGGTTCTTACCCACTGTTACTTGTTGAACTGGAAAGAATAGACCCCATGCTCTGAGGGCGCGTCCATCGCCACGTGGTTCTGCTGGCTGCTGCTCTCCTGTGCCATAGCCAAGGAGGGGAGTCATCCTGCATGTTCCTTTCCTCATCTCCCACTGCAGCAGCCTCACCAAAGCCCACCCACTGTCAGTGCCCTCCCCAACCCACCCACTCTCCACACTCATGTGTGAGCGCTCCCACCCACGGCACCACTTCCCTAACCTTCCCAGCAGCCTGTCCCCTTCCCAAGACACATTTGTCCAAACAAGCCAGCATGCTGGTGTTAACTACTGCCTGGCCAAACATGAAGAAGAGCCTCATTCATCAACTCAGACCAAGTCCTTCTTTCCTACATCTGTTGTTGTTTTTTTAAATATGAAACGCTTCACAAATCTGCACGTCATCCTTGCACAGGGGCCATAATCCCTGTGCCATTCCACTTTTACATCCTTCCTACGGGCTCCATATACCTACCAGCTACCTGTGAACACAGACCCAGCATCATTGTGAGAGGAAGATCTTGATCAGGGTGAAACCCACCTCAGTTCGTTTTCCTAACCACAATCCAAAGAAATGATAACACACTTACCTCGACTGAAACACTGGAAGAAGGCACAGGGGCGTACTGGGAGACGTAAGCTCCTTGCATAGCTGCAGCCGTCGGCATATACTAGAAAGAGAAACATCAGCGGGCTTACAGCAGTGATTCTTGGCTACATTTGAAGCAGTTGGGGAGTTTTAAAAAAAATACTGACACCTGTGTTCTGTCCCAGACATTCTAATTTAATTGATTTGAGTATTAGCGTCTTAAAAGCATTTCAGGTGGTTCTAAAGTACGCTGGCTTAGAAAGACATCTCCCGATATGACTTACTTTCCTTCTCTTTCCTGACTTTCTTCTCCTTTTCCTTGACAGGCTCCCTTCTCTACCCTTGAGCCCTTCTATATAAAAAAGGAATGCAGTAAGCCTAAAAGAAACCTAATGAGCTTCCTCCAGCCTTCCAGGTACTAGTTTGATGAGGATTCCTAGGACATGTTTGTATCTTAAACTAATACGCAGACAGCAGCACTATTCGTGAGGTGCATGAGTAGGGATCAGTTAAGAGTGGGGGCTGGGGAGCAAATGGCTGTATTCCTGGCTCATGGAGCACTACCACTATAGTTTATGTTCTGTCCTGAGTGTACCCTGCATGACACTGAAGTAATGTCATCATTATTCATAAGTTACTTATCCTGAAGAGTACTACACAGGTATGCCTTGCTCAGTAGGAGAGTTTACAATCAGAAACATCCTGCTTTACCGTGCCTGTGCTGCTGAGGGAGAGGTGGCCCAGCTGCTGAGTAAGAGGTCCCATCATGGAGGCTGGCTGGAGAGAAATAGGATGGTCCATCCCGGGTGTCAGAACTGAACCCTAGAAGCAGCAGTAAAGGACAGGGTTAGCTGCAGCATCCTGTGAGGCTACCTAAAGCAGTGATTGGTGGCTGTCAGGACCACTGGAGACAGACATTTAAGAATCCTGGGAAATGGTAAACGAGCAGCAACCCAACTATGCAACAGGAATGGGAACTCTGCCTGTCAGTGTGGAAGGACCCTCGTCCAAAAATAACAAGCTTAGGTCTTACTTCTGGGTTGCACAAGGGTCTAAGCCAGAACTCACACCTACATTCCCTGGCATCGAAGCCCATTGTTTTTTCTTTTTTTTTTTTTTTCTGAGATGGCATTTCATTCTTGTTGCCCAGGCTGGAGTGCAATGGTGCAATCTCGGCTCACTGCAACCTCCGCCTCCTGGGTTCAAGCAATTCTCCTATCTCAGCCCCCTGAGTAGCTGGGATTACAGGTGCATGCCACTACACCCGGCTAATTTTTGGTATTTTTGGTACACAAGGGGTTTCACTATGTTGGCCAGGCTGGTCTCGAATTCCTGACCTCAGGTGATCCACCCGCCTCGGCCTCCCAAAGTGCTGGGATTACAGGCGTGAGCCACTGTGCCCGGTCTATTTCTTCTTTACATCAAACTGCCTCTTTGGCTTCTGCCCACTTCTGAACACTCACTGAAGGTTGCATGAGGTATGAATGGTGGTGCATCCAAGATGGGTTAGGTACTTGTAGAGGAGATGTCTGAGTCACTCTCTAAAACAAGCAAAAACAAAAATGTTAATTGCCTGGAAACTACTGTTCAGCCCAAGGATCTGGCAATGTTCAGGAAAGCCCAGAAAAGTTGGAATGCCCCACTAAAAATAGAAACATTAAGAAAAACTGTTTAAAAAATATTAGCAACTCTTAAAACTCAATAAACAGTGCGAAAAAAGGGCAAAAAGGAGTTCAAAATTACAGTGAGCTATAATTCTGCCACTACACTTCAGCCTGGGTGACAGAGAGAGACTCCATCACTAAAAAACTTTAAAAGAAGGCTGGGCGCGGTGGCTCACACCTGTAATCCCAGCACTTTGGGAGGCCGAGGCGGGTGGATCACGAGGTCAAGAGATTGAGACCATCCTGGTCAACACGGTGAAACCCCATCTCTACTAAATATACAAAAAAATTAGCTGGGCATGGTGGTGTGTGCCTGTAATCCCAGCTACTCTACTCAGGAGGCTGAGGCAGGAGAATTGCCTGAACCCAGGAGGCGGAGGTTGCGGTGAGCCGAGATCACGCCATTGCACTCCAGCCTGGGTAACAAGAGCGAAACTCCGTCTCAAAAAAAAAAAAAAAAAAAAAAAAAAACTTTTTAAAAAGAAAAGGGTTTGGAAAGAAGATATACCAGTAGCCAATGAGTGCATGAAGGAGGCTCAAATGCAAATCAAAACCACAATGGGATACCACTTTATATCCACTAGGATGGCTATAATTATTATTTCCATTTTTTGAAACAGGGTCTTGCTCTCTGTTGCCCAGGCTGGAGTGCAGTGGTGGGACTAGAGGTGTGCGACACTACACCTGGTTAATTTTTGTATTTTTTGTAGAGCCACGTTGCCCAGGCTGGTCCCAAACTCCTTGGCTCAAGTGATCAGTCCACCTCGGCCTCCAAAAGGGCTAGGATTACAGGTGTGAGCCACAGTGCCAGGCCAGCATGGCTACAGTGAAAAGGACAGAATGACAAGTGTTTTATGCTGCTACTGCTGGTGGGAATGTAAAATGGTACAGCTACTCTGGAAAATGTGTTGGTAGTTCCTTAAAAAATTAAATATACAGTTACTATGTAGACCAGCAATTCCACTCCTAGGTATATATCCAAGTGAAATGAAAACGTATGTCCACACAGAAACTTGTATGTCAATGTTTATAGCAGTATTATTCGTAATAGCCGAAAGGAAACAACTCAAATGATGATCAGTTGATAATTGGATAAACAAAATGTGGTATGCCCATATAATGGAATATTATTCAGCTATAAAAAGAATGAAGTACTGATAAACACTACAACATGGACAAATTTTGAAAACATATTAAGTGAAAGAAGCCAGACAAAAAACTACATATTGTATGATTTTACTTATGTGTAATCATACGATCATACAATTTTCTGGGCTTTGCCTATTATGTCCAGAATAGGGAAATCTATAGACACAAAAAGTATATTATGGGTTGCAGGGACATTTCAATTCAAATTGTATTTGAAATAATCCAAAAAGTTACATTATGTAATAATTTGGTACTAGGCCAGCTGGTTAACACTCTGAAAGAAAACAGGACTCCTGGCTGGGCGCGGTGGCTCACGCCTGTAATGACAGCACTTTGGGAGGCCAAGGCAGCTGGATCATGAGGTCAGAAGATCAAGACCAACCTGGCCAAAATGGTGAAACCCGTCTCTACTAAAAATACAAAAATTAGCTGGGTATGGTGGCGTGTGCCTGTAATCCCAGCTACTCAGGAGGCTGAGGCATGAGAATCGCTTGAAACCAGGAGGCAGAGGTTGCAGTGAGCCAAGATCACACCACTGCATTCCAGGCTGGCGACAGAGCAAGACTCCATCTGAAAACAACAACAACAACAACAAAACACACACACACACACACACACACACACACACACACACACACAGAACCAGGACTCCTATCTTATGCCATACACAAAAATAAAATCCTGATGATTAAAAAAAAAAAAAAAATCCTGATGATTAGACATTTAAATGTAAATATAAAACATAAAATCGTAGAGACCAAAACCTAAAAAAAAAAAAATCTTGGAGACCAGATACATAGTTTAGAGACTGAGAATACTTTTCAAATTAAAAAGAGAAATTCAAAAGTTTTTTATAAAAGGAAAAGAAAAATTTAACTATACATATTTTTTTTTTTTTTTTTTTTGAGACGGAGTTTCGCTCTTGTTACCCAGGCTGGAGTGCAATGGCACAATCTTGGCTCACCGCAACCTCCGCCTCCTGGGTTCAGGCAATTCTCCTGCCTCAGCCTCCTGAGTAGCTGGGATTAGAGGCACGTGCCACCATGCCCAGCTAATTTTTTGTATTTTTAGTAGAGACAGGGTTTCACCGTGTTGACCAGGATGGTCTCGATCTCCTGACCTCGTGATCCACCCACCTCAGCCTCCCAAAGTGCTGGGATTACAGGCTTGAGCCACCGCGCCCGGCATAATTTTTTTTTTTAGATGAAGTCTAGCTCTGTTGCCTAGCCCAGGCTGGAGTGCAGTAGCACAATCTCAGCTCACTGCAACCTCCGCTTCCTGGGTTCAAGCGATTCTCCTGCCTCAGCCTTCCAAGTACTGGGATTACAGGTGCGCGCTACCACACCTGGCTAATTTTTGCATTTTTAGTAGAGACGGGGTTTCATCACCATGTTGGTCAGGCTGGTCTTGATCTTCTGACCTATCTGCCTGCCTCAGCCTCCCAAAGTGCTGAGATTACAGGCGTAAGCCACTGTGTCCAGCCAACTATATACAAATTTTACTTTTTTTTTTTTTTGAGACATGGTCTTGCTTTGTCAGCCTCTGGGGTCAAGTGATCCTCCTACTTCAGCCTCCCAAGTTTCTGGGATTACAGTCATGCACCACCATGCCCAGCTAATTTTTGTATATTTTGTAGAGATGGGGATTTCACCATGTTGCCCAGGCTGGTCTTGAACTCCTGAGCTCAAGTGATCCGCCTGCTTCCCAAACTACTCGGATTTTAGGCATGAGCCATCACACCTGGCCAACTTTTACATGGCAAAGACTAGTGATTCCCACAGTATGTTCCCTGAACCAGCCGCAGTAGCAGGAGTATCACCTGAGAACTTGTTGGATATGCAAATTCTTGCCTTCTACCCTAGTCTTACTGAATCAGAAACAGAGTGTGACGCTTGCAACCCAGGTTTCAATAAGCTTTCCACGATTCTGATACACCACTAAAGTTTGAGGACCACAAAGTCAACAGCCGAAAAATAAAACTGGAAAAAAAATGTGTAAGAAAGATAACATTCAGAAGATTAATACTTATATATAGTTTTATAAATTTATGAGAAAAGAACAAATAAATAGAAACATGGGCAAAGCATATGAATAGTGATCAAGGAGAAGTAAATCAAACTATAACAAACAAAATGATTAAATTCACCTATAGTCAGGGACATGCAAATTACAATAACAATGTACTTTACATTCATCAAGTCAGGAACAATTTTTATTTTTTTTTTGAGATGGAGTTTCACTCTTGTTACCCAGGCTAGAGTGCAGTGGTACAATCATGGCTCACTGCAACCTCCACCTTCTGGGTTCAAGCGATTCTCCTGCCTCAGCCTCCGCAGGAGTTGGGATTAGAGGTGCCTATCACCATGCCCAGCTAATTTGTGTTTGTTTGTTTTTTGAGATGGGGTCTCGCTTTGTCACTAGGATGGAGTGCAGTGGTGTGATCTCGGCTTACTGCAACCTCCGCCTCCCTCCAACCTCCCAAGTTCAAGCAATTCTCCTGCCTCAGCTTCCTGAGTAGCTGGGACTACAGGCATGTGCCATCGTGCCCAGCTAATTTTTGTATTTTTAGTAGAGACAGGTTTCACCATGTTGGCCAGGATGGTCTTGATCTCTTCACCCTGCATACCTGTAATCCCAGCACTTTGGGAGGCTGAGACAGTCAGGAACAATTTGAAAAGAGCAGTAACACCTAGGTTTGGAGGGAAATGGGTACTATCACACAAGGCTGGTAGAAATGTGAGGTGACACAGCCTTTGTGGAAAGCAATCTGGCAATGTCTATGAAACTGAACATCCGTACACCATTCAACCTAGCAATCCAACTCCTGAGACTCTAGCCCCGAGAAATAGAAGCACTCATATGTAAAAATATAGCACAAGAGTGTTTAGTGGAGCATTATTGATAGCAGCAAAAAAAACGAATCTAAGTGAATGCTCTCATTGGGTATAGCTAAATAATTCTGGCACATCTGCAGCATGAAATATAATGTAAGCATTAAAAAAGATAAAATTAGTAGCCAGGCACGATGGCTGACGCCTGTAATCCCAGCACTTTGGGAGGCCGAGGTGGATGAATCACAAGGTCAAGAGATCGAGACCATCCTGATCAACATGGTAAAACCCTGTCTCTACTAAAAATACAAAAAATTAGCTGGGCATGGTGGCGCATGCCTCTAATCCCAGCTACTCAGGAGGCTGAGACAGGAGAATCTCCTGAACCCAGGAGGCAGAGGTTGCGGTGAGCCAAGATTGTGCCATTGCACTCCAGCCTGGGTAACAAGAGCGAAATTCCGTCTCAAAAAAAAAAAAAAAAAAAAAAAAATTAATTAAAAAAATAATAAAAATAAAAAGAAATAAAATAAAATAAAAATTAGAGCAGAGATAACGTTAGCTGCAAGAGAATCACCTGGAGGGCTTATTAAAACTCAGATCATGGCTGGGTGTGGTGCAGCACTTTGGGAGGTCAAGGTGAGCAGATCACCTGAGGTCAGGAGTTTGAGATCAGCCCAGCCAACATGTTGAAACCTCATCTCTACTAAAAATACAAAAATTGCCGGGCGCGGTGGCTCAAGCCTGTAATCCCAGCACTTTGGGAGGCTGAGGCGGGTGGATCACGAGGTCAAGAGATCGAGACCATCCTGGTCAAAATGGTGAAACCCCGTCTCTACTAAAGATACAAAAAATTAGCTGGGCATGGTGGCGTGTGCCTGTAATCCCAGCTACTCAGGAGGCTGAGGCAGGAGAATTGCCTGAACCCAGGAGGCGGAGGTTGCGGTGAGCCGAGATCGCGCCATTGCACTCCAGCCTGGGTAACAAGAGCGAAACTCCGTCTCAAAAAAAAAAAAAAAAAAAAAAAAAAAATACAAAAATTAGCTGGGTGTGGTGGCATATGCCGGTTAATCCCAGCTATTTCAGAGGCTGAGACAGGAGAATCACTTGAACCCAGGAAGCGGAAGTTGCAGTGAGCTAACATTGTGCCACTGCATTCTAGGCTGGGCAACAAGAGCGAGACTCCATCTCAAAAAAAAAAAAAAAAAAAAGAAAAAGAAAGAAAAGAAAATCAAACAGGGCTGGGCACAGTAGCTCATGCCTGTAATCCCAGCAATCTGGGAGGTTGAGGTGGGCAGATCATGAGGTCAGGAGTTTGAGACCAGCCTGGCCAACATGGTGAAACCCCATCTCTACTAAAAATACAAAAATTACTCGGCATGTTGGTATACGCCTGTAATCCCAGCTACTTGGGAGGCTGAGGCAGGAGAATCACTTGAAGCTGGGAGGTGGAGGTTGCAGTGAGCTGAGTTCTTGCCACTACACTCCAGCCTGGGCAACAGAGTCTCACTCTGTCGCAAAAAAACAAAACAAAACAAAAACCCAGATCGCCAAGCCCCATACTCAGAGTTTGTAATTCAGTAGATTTGGAGGGGAGTCCAAAACTTCTGTTTTTAAAAATTCGCAGAGGATGCTGAAACTGCTGGTCTTGGACCACACTTTGAGAATCGCTGGTGTAGGATATTGTTAAGTGAGATGAGTGAATGTAAAAATCTATTTAATATGGTCCAATTTTTGTAAAATAGACAACTTCCCAAATGCTATGCAACTGTGTATATTCACATGAAAAAATATGACCAATGCTACCCAGTAGGACATTAACATGAGTTTACTTGTGGGGATGGTGGAAGGGGAGTAAGAGGACACCATTAAAACTACATACTATGGGCCGGGCACGGTGGCTCAAGCCTGTAATCCCCGCACTTTGGGAGGCCGAGGCGGGTGGATCACAAGGTTGAGAGATCAAGACCATCCTGGTCAACATGGTGAAACCCCGTCTCTACTAAAGATACAAAAAATTAGCTGGGCATGGTGGCACGTGCCTGTAATCCCAGCTACTCAGGAGGCTGAGGCAGGAGAATTGCCTGAACCCAGGAGGCGGAGGTTGCGGTGAGCCGAGATCGCGCCATTGCACTCCAGCCTGGGTAACAAGAGCGAAACTCCGTCTCAAAAAAACAAAAAAAACAAAAAAACTCCATACTATGTATATCACTACACACACACAGATCATCTTTTACACTGTTATGTAAAATTGTGTGTAATATGATTAAAAGAAAAAAACAAAAAATAAGACGTTCCTAGCCTTATATTACTTAAAGCACAATAGTAGGGAAAGCCACCGCACCGCACCCTTTTTCAGGCATGAACATACCTGATACGAAGACACGGGAGAGGAAAGGTATGGGGAGAGTGCAGACTGAGCAAGCATCCTGTTGGGGGTGATGTTATAAGGGGCTGGGTAAAACCTGTGGGAAGGAACCTCAATCAGTACTGAGTCACAGGAAACCACAAGGGAAGAGCCCCAACTGATAGGCACAGCCAACTTTCCCTTGACTTTCAAATAGAGACAATCAAGATGAAACATTTGAGTGTCTGGATATAGGCTATTATCATTTTCAGATGGCCTGGTTATATAAAACACCCTTACCCATTCTGAAGAGATGTGGCCGGGTCATAGGTCAAGGCCATGCTACCCTATAAAGAAAGAAGGCAGTGTTCACATTGTGAGTCCTTGTGTGAGAACAGGCCCAGAATGTCCAAGGCTGGGAATGTATTTAGTTCAACGAATTAAAGCCTGGACAAGTTTCACTACGGCTGTTCCAGAGTTTTTCTGATTGTTCAGGCTGCAAAGCCCCACTCAAGAACACACTGGCAGTATGTTTTTTTTTTTTTTTTGAGACGGAGTTTCGCTCTTGTTGCCCAGGCTGGAGTGCAATGGCGCGATCTCAGCTCACCGCAACCTCCGCCTCCTGGGCTCAGGCAATTCTCCTGCCTCAGCCTCCTGAGTAGCTGGGATTACAGGCACACGCCACCATGCCCAGCGAATTTTTAGTACTTTTAGTAGAGACGGGGTTTCACCATGTTGACCAGGATGGTCTCGATCTCTTGACCTCGTGATCCACCCGTCTCGGCCTCCCAAAGTGCTGGGATTACAGGCTTGAACCACCGCGCCCGGCCTACTGGCAGTATGTTAACAGCCAGCACCTCTCAGTTACCTACTGCAGCTCTCAAGCTTTCCACCTCAGCTCACAGAAATCATACCATGATCATTCCCGTTCCACTTTCATGTCCTTAGTACTCTTTGTCTCCTCAGAGGTCCTCTTACCATGTCTCCATTCCTTGGCCAGGCCCGTCCATTTTGCACAAATTTTCCTTGGTTCTGTCGTTTCTTTGGCCCGCCATCAGCAAATTTGCAAAGCAAGGGATCGGGTGGGGCTGCCAAGAGAGAAAGCAGATGCTCAGCTGAGTCCCACCTCATGCGGCCCAGGCACACTCATGCAAAGCTGCTCCAGAATCTTCACTGGAAGTAACAACCTGTGGCCCTCTCAGCGTGAGCCCCACATGCCTCACCTGGTACTCCAGGGGGTGTCTTAATATATTTTCCATTAAAGTGGGTGATGATGGCTTCACACTTCTCTGTGGACTCCATCCTAAGGAGCATAAGAGGGGTTAGGCTCTAGCTTCTCCAGGATCTGTGCTTTCCACACTTTCAAAGAGAAAGCTCTAAGTTCCCAGCCCCACAAATGCTCCAAATATTATGACTGCAGAAACACAGAGTGTCTGCAACACAAATTCAAGGTTCTTGAAGAGGTAACCCCAACTTGTAATGAAGGTTCTCTCAACTGGTCCTTGTATGGGATCCTCATAGGAATAATGGCAGTCTTCAGACTTTTTTTTTTTTTTTGAGATAAGGTCTTGCTCTGTTGCCTAGGCTGGAGTGCAGTGGCTCAATCTAGGCTCACTGCAACCCCTGCCTCCCAGGTTCAAGCAATTCTTCTGCCTCAGCTTCCTGAGTAACTGGGACTACAGGTGCACACTACCACATCCAGCTAATTTTTGTATTTTTTGATAGAGACAGAGTTTCACCATATTGGCCAGGCTGGTCTCGAACTCCTGACCTTGCGATCTGCCCACCTCAGCCTCCCAAAGTGCTAGGATTATAGGCATGAGCCACTGCATCCAGCCAGACTATTAACATGGGCCCTCTATTTTGCCTCACACATAAATAAGAATAGAAGAAACAGAGGCTGTTACCATTATTATTATTATTTCTGAGATGGAGTCTTGCTCTGTCGCCCAGGCTGGAGTGCAGTGGCACGATCTTGGCTCACTGCAACTTCCACCTCCTGGGTTCAAATGATTCTTCTGCCTCAGCCTTCCGAGTAGCTGGAATTATGGGCATGTGCCACCACACCTGCCTCATTTCTGTATTTTTAATAGAGACAGGGTTTTATCATGTTGGTCAGGCTCGTCTTGAAATTTTGACCTCATGATCTGCCTGCCTTGGCCTCCCAAAGTGCTGGGAATACAGGCATGACCCACTGTGCCTGGATACTGTTATTAAAAAATTCTCAATAGAAATTGTTCCTCGGGATTACAGGCATGAGCCACTGCACCTGGCCACCATTATTTTTTATTTAAAAATTCTGAATAGAAATTATTTATTTAATTTGATAAAATTGTACAAGCTAAGAATTTGCCAATATTTATTTTTTGCTTCTTCTTGTAATTAAGGTCAAGGTCTAATTAGCTACTGATAATATCATTAAGATTTCACTAACCTGTGGAAAGAAAAAGCAGTAAGAAAGAGTTCATGGCCCTTAGTGATAGAAAAAGGAATGTTGGAATCTACTGAGTTAAGTTTCTTGTCGGAGAAAGAGGAATAAGGAATCAGAAGACTGAGATTCCAGCACCCAGGCCTCTGTGTTAGAACACTCACAAAAACCCTCTGATCAGCCAGGTGAGGTGGCTCACATCTATAAACTCAGCACTTTGGGAGGCTGAGGCAGGTGGATCACTTGAGGTCAGGAGTTTGAGACCAGCCTGGCCAACATGGTGAAATCCGGTTTCTACTAAAAATACAAAAATTACCTGGGTTTGGTGGTGCATGCCTGTAGTCCCAGCTACTCGGGAGGTAGAGGTGAGAGAATCGCTTGAACCTGGGAGGCAGAGGTTGCAGTGAGCCAAGATCGTGCCGCTGCACTCCAGCGTGGGTGACAGAGCGAGACTCAGACTCAAAAAAACAAAAACAAAAACAAAAACAGCCAGGTGCAGTGGCTCACATCTGTAATCCCAGCACTTTGGGAGGCCAAGACAGGTGGATCACAAGGTCAAGAATTTGAGACCAGCCTGACCAAAATTAGCCGGGCCTGATGGCGGGTGCCTATAATCCCAGCTACTAGGGAGGCTGAGGCAGCAGAATCGCTTGAACCCAAGAAGTGGAGGTTGCAGTGAGCTGAGACTGTGCCACCGCACTCCAGCCTGGGTGCCCGAGAGAGACTTTGTCTCAAAAACAAACAAACAGAAACAAACAAACAAAAAAACCCTCTGATCCACTCCTTATTTATGCTTTAGAGATAACATCTATCTGCCCTACCACACAGTGCTGTATAGATCAAAGGAGATAATGTATATAAACGTGTTCTAAAAATTATAAGGGACTATATAGAACAAGGAACAGTATCTTTACCTATTTCCATATTTAAAGTAAGATTCAGTATATTTAACCTATTTCCATATTTAAAGTAAGACTTAACATTTGCTGTGCCAATGACCACCAGAAATGTGAACCATTCCTATAAAAGAGGTAACTTTAAAAAGTCCTCAAATTGAGCCTTTTAGAGAAAACCACACATTAGGTATCCTAGAGCAGTGGGCTTCTGTCAGGTATTTCTACTCCTTATAGTCTTTCCAAAGGGTGAGCAGCCCATGGAGCATTTCAGAAACTCAACTTTCTCTAAACCGGCTAAATCTGACGTGCCTGAGGGAGAGCTCCTGATGGCTAATGATCAAAGCTGAAGTCCCTTCTTACAATAGCTCCTCTCAAATGGTTTCCAATTCTTTAGAATCAACAAAGTTGGGGGACTTTAGCAAGATGTCAACTCACACATTAAAAAATCAATTTTGATGACAGAACACTTTGGTTCTTGCCATATAATTCAAAAGGAATTTTTTTTAGACGGAGTTGTGCTCTGTCACCCAAGCTGGAGTGCAGTGGCGTGATCTGGGTTCACTGCAAACTTATCCTCCCGGGTTCAAGTGATTTTCCTGTCTCAGCCTCCTGAATAGCTGGGATTACCAGCATGTGCCACCATGGCCAGCTAATTTATGTATTTTTAGTAGAGACAGGGTTTCATCATGTTGGCCAGGCTGGTCTCAAACTCCTGACCTCAAGTGATTTGCCCACCTCAGCCTCCCAACATGCTGGGATTACACAGGCATGAGCCACCACACCCAGCCAAAATTTTTATTTATATACAATTTTTGTATTTTTATCAGAGACGTTTCACCATGTTAGCCAGGCTGGTCTTGAATTCCTGACCTCAGGTGATCCACCCACCTCAGCCTCCCAAAGTGCTGGGATTACAGGCGTGAGCCATTGTGCCCATCATTGTATGAACATTTTTTTTTTTTTTAATGAGACGGAGTTTTCCTCTTGTTACCCAGGCTGGAGTGCAATGGCGCGATCTCGGCTCACCGCAACCTCCTCCTCCTGGGCTCAGGCAATTCTCCTGCCTCAGCCTCCTGAGTAGCTGGGATTACAGGCACGCACCACCACGCCCAGCTAGTTTTTTTTTTGGTATTTTTAGTAGAGACGGGGTTTCACCATGTTGACCAGGATGGTCTCGATCTCTCGACCTCGTGATCCACCCGCCTCAGCCTCCCAAAGTGCTGGGATTACAGGCTTGAGCCACCGCGCCCGGCATTGTATGAACATTTTAAGATAACTTTTTTATTTTTATTTTTTGGGCTCTCACTTTGTTGTCCAGGCTGGAGTACAGTGATGTGATCTCAGCTCACTGCAACCTCCACCTCCAAGGTTCAAGTGATTCTCCTGCCTCAGCCTCCCAAGTAGCTAGGATTACAGGTGCCCACCAACACACCCAGCTAACATTTATATTTTTAGTAGAGATGGGGTTTTACCATGTTGGCCAGGCTGGTCTCGAATGCCTGACCTCAAGTGATCCACCCGCCTCAGCCTCCCAATGTGCTGGGATTACACAGGCATGAGCCACTGCACCCAGCCAAAATTTTTATTTATACACATATTTTTCTTGCAGAGAAGTATGACAAGATGATCCATAAAGACTTTTAATTATAAAAATATTTTACACTAGAATACAATTCTATAGAGAAATGGAATAGAAACACACAATCAAGAAGAAAACAAGGAATGTTATAAGAATGATATGAGATTCATGACTGCAGTAGTCTCTCCTTGTCCTCAGGAGATGCATTTCAAGGCCCCTAGTGGATGCCCAAAACCATGGAGAGCATCAAACCCTAGATATACTGTTTTTTCATCTGATGGCCACCATAGCTACTAAGTGACTAATGGGACATAGCATTTGCAGTGTGGATACGTTGGACAAAGGGTGGGATGGAGCTGGACAACATGAAATTTCTTTTTGAGACAGAGTCGCACCGTGTTGCCCATGCTAGAGTGCAGCGGTATGATATTGGCTCACTGCAACCTCCACCTCCAGAATTCAAGTGATTCTACTGCATCAGCCTCCTGAGTAGCTGGGACTACAGGTGCATGCCACCATGCCCAGCTATTTTTTCTATTTTTAGTAGCTATGGGGTTTTACCATGTTGACCAGGCTGGTCTTGAACTCCTGGCCTTAAGTGATCCGCTCACCTCCAGCTCCCAAAGTGCTGGGATTACAGGTATGAGTTACCTTGCCTGGTGTGAAATTTAATCGTGCTACTCAGAATGGTATATGATTTAAAAACTTATGAACTATTTCCAGATTTTTCCATTTAATATTTTTCAGTTGACTATGGGTAACTGAAACCATAGAAAGTGAAACCATAAGCCGGGCGCGGTGGCTCAAGCCTGTAATCCCAGCACTTTGGGAGGCTGAGGCGGGTGGATCACGAGGTCAAGAGATCGAGACCATCCTGGTCAACATAGTGAAACCCTGTCTCTACTAAAAATACAAAAATTAGCTGGGCATGGTGGCACGTGCCTGTCATCCCAGCTACTCAGGAGGCTGAGGCAGGAGAATTGCCTGAACCCAGGAGGCAGAGGTTGCAGTGAGCCAAGATCGCGCCATTGCACTCCAGCCTGGGAAACAAGAGCGAAACTCCGTCTCAAAAAAAAAAAAAAAAAAAAAAAAAGAAAGTGAAACCATAAATAAGGGGGGACTACCGTATTAAAAAAAAAAAGATGGCCCGTGTTTTTTTTTTGTTGTTGTTTGTTTGTTTGTTTTTGGTGTAGGGGTAAAGGTAAGGGGGAATAGAAAGTGGCTGGGGATCCTGTGGGCCCACAGCTCCATTCCCAGGGAAAGACCCATCCCATATGCCTCCAGCTCTACCCATACTCCTGTATGTATGTATGTATGTACATATACATTGAGACAGGGTCTCACTCTGTAGCCCAGGCCGGAGTACAATGGTATGATCACGGTTCACTGCAGCTCTGACATCCTGGGATCCTCCCATCTTAGCCTCCCAGGTAGCTGGGACTACAGGCACATGCCACTATGCCCAGCTAATTTTTTTAAAAATAATTTTATATCTATTTTAGCCACAAGATTAGAAATTAGCCCGGCTTTTTTTTTTTTTTTTTTTTTTTTGGTATTTTTTTTGTAGAGATGGGGTTTCACCATGTAGCCCAAGCTGGTCTTGAACTCCTGAGCTCAAGTGATCCACCCGCCTTGGCCTCCCAAAGTCCAGTATTTTTTTTTTTTAATTTTTTTTTTTTTTTAATAAAGATGGGGTTTCACCATGATGGCCAGGCTGCTCTTGAACTCCTGACCTCAGGTGATCCACCTACCTCGGCCTCCCAAAGTGCTAGGATTACAGGTGTGAGCCACTGCACCCAGCCAAGTCCAGTAATTTTTAAATGAATAATTTGTGTATCAGATTGCTATGATATTTAGATCTTGTTTGAATACTTTTTTTTTTTTTTTTTTTAAGACGGAGTTTCGCTCTTGTTACCCAGGCTGGAGTACAATGGTGCGATCTCGGCTCACCGCAACCTCCGCCTCCTGGGTTCAGGCGATTCTCCTGCCTCAGCCTCCTGAGTAGCTGGGATTACAGGTACACGCCACTATGCCCAGCTAATTTTTTGTATTTTTAGTAGAGACGGGGTTTCACCATGTTGACCAGGATGGTCTCGATCTCTTGACCTCGTGATCTACCCGCCTTGGCCTCCCAAAGTGCTGGGATTACAGGCTTGAGCCACCGCGCCCGGCCCTTGAATACATTTTTAAATGAGGTAATGGTTTTATCTTAAATGCCGACATTTATAATTTGCTGGAAATCATACTTTGGATGAATCTAAACATATGAAGAAAACTTATAGACATTAACATAGAAACATACAAGAGATTTCATAGTTTTATAAAAGTCTCTAAAGCCACAGTTCCTGAGCTGTGCTCTCAGGCACTGTGGGTCACTGTACTGAACTCAGAGAGGCACGGTGAGGGATATTTTAACTCTTTGAAGAAAAACAGCAGTATTTGTTGGAGAATGTGTGCACTACTAACTCAAAGTTGTTTACTGTTTCAACATTAGTTCCTCCTACAATCTTTTTGATAACATCATATTTTTGCAAAGATGGGTTTAAATAGTTGCTATGACAAAAGCAAATACCATAAGAAAAAACAGTATGGGCCGGGCGCGGTGGCTCAAGCCTGTAATCCCAGCACTTTGGGAGGCCGAGGCGGGTGGATCACGAGGTCAAGAGATCGAGACCATTCTGGTCAACATGGTGAAACCCCGTCTCTACTAAAAATACTGAAAATTAGCTGGGCATGGTGGCGTGTGCCTGTAATCCCAGCTACTCGGGAGGCTGAGGCAGGAGAATTGCCTCAACCCAGGAGGCAGAGGTTGCGGTGAGCCGAGATCGCGCCATTGCACTCCAGCCTGGGCAACAAGAGCGAAACTCCATTTCAAAAAAAAAAAAAAAAACAGTATGTACCAGGAAATGAGGGTGTACGTGTCCATTCTGATATCAGATTTTGAGAAGTTGTATAATTCCAACAGGCACATATTCCATTAGTAAGTATAGTTAGAATGAAATAAAGACATTCTCTCTTTCAATGTTTGTATTTTATTTTTTCAAGCAGCCACAAAGTTGTTAAAGCATCAACACTTATTAAGTTGTGTGGACCATGAAGTTATTGCTGTCAGGACATTTTTTTAAAAAGTTGTGTGGACCATTCAGTTACTTAAGAAATTGAACTGTTAGGTACTTCTTTTGGTCTAGGGTAAAAAAGTATATGACAACTAAGGGTGCCACAAACGGAGAAATGTTGAGAACCTCTGCTAGGAACTCTCCGTAGTTAAACCTGGGATTGCCAGCAAGTGATGCTACTAAGATTGAGTCAGCCGGGGAAGAGGAACTCTTTCTTTCTTTCTTTTTTTTTGAAAGGGCGTCTCACTCTGTTGCCCAGACTAGAGATCAATGGCTTGATCCCAGCTCACTGCAACCTCTGCCTCCCAGGTTCAAGTGATAAGTGATTCTCCTGCCTCAGCCTCCAGAGTAGCTGGGATTACAGGTGCCCACCGCCATGCCCAGCACCATGCCCAGTTAATTTTTGTATTTTTAGTAGAGACTGGGTTTCACAAGGTTGGCCAGACTGGTCTCAAACTTTTTTTTTTTTTTTTTTTTTTTGTGAGACGGAGTTTCACTCCTGTTACCCAGGCTGGAGTGCAATGGCGCGATCTCGGCTCACCGCAACCTCTGCCTCCTGGGCTCAGGCAATTCTCCTGCCTCAGCCTCCTAAGTAGCTGGGATTACACACACGCGCCACCACGCCAGCTAGTTTTTTTGTATTTTTAGTAGAGACGGGGTTTCACTATGTTGACCAGGATGGTCTCGATCTCTCGACCTCATGATCCACCCGCCTCGGCCTCCCAAAGTGCTGGGATTACAGGCTTGAGCCACCGCGCCCGGTTCAAACTTCTGACCTCAGGTGATCCACCTGCCTCTGCCTCCCAAAGTGGGTGGGATTACAGGTGTGAGCCACCGTGCTCGGTCAAGAGGAACTATTTCTTGTTCCCAAGGGCTAAGGGAGGCCGATGCCTTATGACAATGAGGGCAGATACCAGAGCCCAAAGAAGGGCGCCCTGGAAAACTGCAGGTACAGGGAATACTTTGGGGAAATTACTCATCTGAATCAATCTCCACTTCAGTGAGTGAACCAAGGCTCACAAAGATCTGTTATAGGCACAGAATTGTTCTAGAATAGAGGTCTCCCAACAGATCTGAAAAGGAAGATCAAAACTTCTTCATCCTACTGATCTCAAAGCCAGAAGGATCAGGGCTCTGCTCTAACACCCACTCCTGTGAGACCCTGGGCAAATCACTTAATACTGAGAAGTTTACTTTCCCCATCCGTAAGAGGGAGAATATTCATCTCGTAGGGCTGTTAGAAAGATTCAATGAGATAACAAGATGAGAAATACTCAGTAAACTATAAGAATATACAGAATTTTTTACTCTGCCTGGGTCTGGATCAAAGGAACAAAGGAACAAAGCCTAGAGTAGCAGGAAGTAGGGAAAGAACAATGAATCGGGAGCTTAGCTGAGTGTGGTGGCTCATGCTTGTAATCCCAGCTGCTTAGGTGGCTGAGGCAGGAGGATCACTTGAGCCCAGATGTTCAAGAGCAGCCTGGACAACACGGCAAGACCACATCTTTATTTTATTTATTTATTTTTTTGAGACAGAGTTTTGCTCTTGTTACCCAGGCTGGAGTGCAATGGCGCGATCTCGGCTCACTGCAACCTCCGCCTCCTGGGTTCAAGCAATTCTCCTGCCTCAGCCTCCTGAGTAGCTGGGATTACAGGCATGCGCCACCATGCCCAGCTAATGTTTTGTATTTTTAGTAGAGACAGGGGTTCACCATGTTGACCAGGATGGTCTCGATCTCTTGGCCTCGTGATCCACCCGCCTCGGCCTCCCAGAGTGCTGGGATTACAGGCTTGAGCCACCGTGCCTGGCCTGACTGCATCTTTATTAAAAAAAATATTTAGGTAGGGCTAATGGGTTTTTGAGTATTGTAACCTATAATAAAATGAGGTTTTTTTTTTTTTTTTTTCAGACAGAGTCTTACTCTGTTGCCCAGATTGGAGTGCAGTGGCGTGATCTTGGCTCACTGCAACCTCTGCCTCCCAGGTTCAGGCAATTCTCCTGCCTCAGCGTCCCAAGTAATTGGGATTACAGATGCCCGCCATCACACCTGGCTAATTTTTGTATTTTTAGTAGAGATGGGGTTTCACCATATTGGCCAGGCTGGTCTCAACCTCCTGACCTCCTGACCTAGGTGATGTGCCTGCCTTGGCCTCCCAAAGTGTTGGGATTATAGCCGTGAGGCACCGCGCCTGGCCTAAAATGAACTCTGGACTTACCGTCAAGTATTTTTGACTAATAGTCAAGTATTTTGACCTTGTGTGGGAAGAGGCACAGATTTTGATTTTTGGTGACCCCTAAGTGACATTTGTTATTGACCTCATCATTTCCCCACTCCTGCCTTCCTCACCTTGCAAAGCCAACCCCTCTGCTGGTCCCACTGGTGTCTCGAAGGATACGGGTGGAGATAACCTGGCCAAAGGGCTTCAGCATCCCCTCCAGTTCCTGCTCATCCATTGACAGTGGGAGGTTTGAGATGTATAAATTTGTGGGGTCCTGTTCCTGTTGCTATGGAAATAACAGTGAGAAAATGAGGCTATCCCTCTCCCACCCTCAGCCCTTCTCACAAAATGACATTTCAGAAAAGAGACTAGAGGAAGGGTCCCACATAAACCAAGATTATCCTATTTGTTAACACCCAGTCCCACTACAACAGGTGTATATTGAGTTCCAGGAGGGAAAAGTGCAGATTTTATATTTCTAGGGCTATACAAGCTCATCATGAATGGTGTTTGTCTCTTTTTTTTTTTTGGAGACAGAGTCTCGCTCTGTTGCCCAGGCTGGAGTGCAGTGGCGCAATCTCGGTTCACTGCAACCTCCGCCTCCCGGCTTCAAGCGATTCTCCTGCCTTAGCCTCCTGAGTAGCTGGGACTACAGGTGTGTGCCACCAGGCCCGGCTAATTTTTGTATTTTTAGTAGAGCCGGGTCTCACCATGTTGGCTAGGATGGTCTCAGTTTCTTGACCTTGTGATTCGACCAGCCTCCCAATGCTGAAATTACAGGCGTGAGCCACTTCGCCTGGCCGGCTGTCTCTTTAAGAAACAGGCTGTGTAGCTAGATACAGTTTATTTAAAAAAAAAAAACAAAAAACAAAACAAAACAAAAAAAAAACAGAAGAAGAAAGAAAGAAAGAAACAGGCAGAGCAGCATTCCCGCTCTCCCCCCGCAGCCGTCCTGAGGCTGGGTTCCCCTGGACTGCCTTGCTCCTTGGCTGGCTGGTTTTGAGCAGCCCCTCCCCCTTCTCTTCCGGCCACGCGGAATCCTCTAAGTAGGAATGCCTGTTCACTCCCTGATGGGGGAAGAGCAGGAAGAGGGGAGAGGGACAGGGAAAGAGGCAGATGTGGAGTTCACTGGGTCACCATGGAGCCCTGAAAGCTACAGTCTCCTAGGAACCCTGAAGGCTCCTCCATCTTTGAGCTTTTGTCAGAGGGTTTTACTTCTGGAAGAAGAGGTAGGAGAGCCCTTCCAGAGGACTAGCTGTATTTTTAAGAATTTAAGCAGTCACTCTGCCATACACAGTGGTCACCAGCAACCTTAAGCCCCTTCTGCCTTTTCCTTTCGTTTCCTTTTTCTTTAACCATTACAGAAAAGGTGGCTGGCAGGCTTGCCTCACAAGCTCTATGTATAGTACTCTTAACAGCTTCAGAAAGGCAAGGGGACAATCCCACCTAATAGAAGAAGTGAGAGAAAAAAGCTTTTAGATTTCTGGTAGTCTAGGTGAAGACAACAGTTTCCTCCCGCCTACCCTGGCCCCTCTGGGGAACAACACTGGGAAGTGGAGAGCATTGCCCTGAACTTCTGAGTTGCACAATTGACTTGTTCAGAGAATGTTGCAAAACCACCACAAGCTGTCTGGTAGGAAAGTGGGGCCAGGGTGAATAATACAGGGCAAATAGGGAAGCAGCAGGAGGACTGGAAGAGGCCACCTTACGCTCTTTCTCGCTGCCAGTAACTTGGCGAGAGGAACAGAGTTGACAGAGCTACTTGCCATAGACTTTGAATACGTCTTCCTCCAGCAGCCAGGGGTACTCACGGACTGTCTAGAAAGCACTGTGGATCGCCCTTTCCCACTCAATTTCATGGTTCCTAAGCCCTCTGGAAACCTTAGAACTGGAACTTCGGTGCTAACCATAAACCCCTTGGAGGAACAGACATGGGGGAATACCCTTACCTTTGCCATCTGTGCCTGTACGCCGCTGGCCTTCAGTGCTGTTACAGCTTTCTGTGCTGCTGAAGGGCTGTCAAAATCTACAAAGCCATAGCCTGGGACGGAGAAACAGCATCATTGGGAGGTGGGAGGTGGGAGGTGTAAGGGACATAGGGAGGTCCAGGTTTTTCAGGAGACAGAGGAGGAGTTATCATCCATGTAACAGAAGCGGGAGGGAGAAAGAGCTATTGAGAGATTTCAGGTAGTTATCTACCTGCTTCTCAAACCTTGACGTGTGATCTACTTTGTGGCTACAAATGCCAAGGCAATGAGCTACTATGGTGTCCGGGCCTTTCTCCCTCCCCCTTAAGAAGTCTGAGGTTTCAAGAACTAGGCTCTTAATAACCCAAAGCTCCCCTATACCTCTAAATCCCCCCCCCTTTTCTTGATATATCCCAGAAATGCTAAGAATGTAGGGAATGCAGCCTCTCCAGAACAGACCAGCAGCCGCCTGCTGAAGAAGGCCCTCACCACCCCAAGCTATAGCCCTTTCTCTTCCTTCTACTCTTCCACCTCTATCTAGAACTGCTCAAAACCCCAATAAAACTACTCACCCTCAGAAAATAATACCCGCCAAGATACTCCCAACAAAATGCATTTACATGGCTTTGCTAAGCAGAAAAAAATCTCACTTACCCACTTCCACTGCACCATCCAGGGAAATACAAGGTCCAAAACAAGCCCGGTAGACTTAAAGGTGTTTTGTACAGCCTTCTGGCCTTGGGGCCCCTAAACAGCATTTTCAGCTCTAGCTATCTGGTCACCAAAGAATCTAAATATCTCTTTTTTTTTTTTTTTGGGACGGAGTGTTGCTCTTGTTACCCAGGCTGGAGTGCAATGGCGCGATCTCGGCTCACCGCAACCTCCGCCTCCTGGGTTCAGGCAATTCTCCTGCCTCAGCCTCCTGAGTAGCTGGGATTACAGGCACGCGCCACCAATGCCCAGCTAATTTTTTGTATTTTTAGTAGAGACGGGGTTTCACCATGTTGACCAGGATGGTCTCGATCTCTTGACCTCGTGATCCACCCGCCTCGGCCTCCCAAAGTGCTGGGATTACAGGCCTGAGCCACCGCGCCCGGCCGAATCTAAATATCTCTTAATCTTTTAAGCCTAAAAATTTCAGGTACTCTTCGTTGACACTGTAGACTCAGGACTCTCAGCGGTAAAGGGCAGTGGCAAGGGATGGCCTCACTTACTGGTGCTCTCCGTCACCAAGGACAGTTGTTCTCTCACCTTTGCATTTGTTTGTGGTCTTGTCCAGTATGGCCTTAGTGGAAACAATCTTGCCATATCTAAGGGAGAGGAAAATGCAAAGTAATAATCTGGGGGCAGAGACTAAGAACAGGACAGAGATTCAGACATCTGGACAGATCCATGCCTTTTCCATGCTCCAACCTTAATGAAAATAAAAAAGAAATGGGGGATGGTGGCTCACGCCTGGAATCCCAGCACTTTGGGAGGCTGAGGCTGGTGGATCACTTGAGGTCAGCAGTTTGAGACCAACCTGGCCAACATGATGAAACCTCATCTCTACTAAAAATACAAAAATTAGCTGGGTGTGGTGGCGCATGCCTGTAGTCCCAGCTATTCGGGAGGCTGAGGCAGGAGAATGCTTGAACCTGGGAGGCAGAGGGTGCAGTGAGCCGAGATTGTGCCACTGTGCTCCAGCCTGGGTAACAGACGGAGACTCGTCTCAAAAAAAAAAAAAAAAAAGAAAAAGAAAAAAGAAAAAAAAAAAGAAATGGGTTAAAATGCCACCCTTAATATAAAACCATCCTCCCCAAAGGTGCCTAAAAGAAATACGGTAACTGCAGTCCTTATAATACCAACACATTTCTCTCTTCTTTCCCAAGACTCACACACTAGTTGGAAAGAGGTGACTGTCTTCTGGGGAAAGAAGCTTGGCAGTGTCCACACAACAGAGTGTGCAGAGGCAGAGCTCCGGCTGGAATTCCCTGAGGACTAAAAACAATCTTTGATGTTACTTATCTTCTTATGGAAAACACCACTGATCCTACGAAAAAAACTACAGACATTTTTCTTCTCTGATATCCTATTCCCATCACCCCTCCACTGACCCCTTTAATTGAAGGTCAACATGAGCCGAATTGCTTTGGTTCAAAGCCACTTTTCAGCTTTTTGTGATCTTGAAGAAGTCATTTAGCCTTTTGGCATCTCAGCCTCATCATCCATAAAATGGAGATAGGATTGTTAGGAATGTGAAATGAATTAGTAAATATAAATCATTAATGTCTACCACATGGTAAGCACTTAAAAATCTTAATTACTATGATTATTATTATATTTAAGGAACCTCAACTTTAATCTCTCTCTCTGTCTTACCATATTCTGAGACTTCTATTTCTCATTGTCAAGATTTGAGGGTGTTAGGAAGGGGAGTGGTATTAAATCATTGTGTGTTGTGTGTGTGTGTGTGTGTGTGTGTGTGTCAGGGTCTGGCTCTGTTGCCCAGGCTGGAGTGCAGTGGTGTGATCTGGCTCACTGCAACCTCTGCCCCCTGGGTTCAAGTGATTCTCCTGCCTCAGCCTCCTAAGTAGCTGGGACTGCAGATGCATGCCACCATGCCCAGCTAATTTTTGTAGTAGAGAAGAGGTTTCACCATGCTGGACAGGCTGGTCTTGAATTCTTGGCCTCAAGTGATCTGCCCACTTCAACCTCCCAAATTGCTGGCATTACAGGTGTGAGCCACCACACTCAGCCCAAAGCAGAATCTTGATTCAACTTCACCATATATTCATCCCTCAGTATTTGTGGGAGGTTTGTTCCAGGATCTCCTCCGTCCCCCTGCATGGATACCAAACTCCACTGATGCTCAAGTCTCCCCACTTTTTCTGAGACAGGATCTTGTTCTGTCACCAAGGCTGGAGTGCAGTGGCTCAATCTCAGCTAACTGCAGCCTGCGAGATCAAGTTTAGCAGTAATCCTCCTACCTTAGCCTCCAGAATAGCTAGGATTATAGGCACATGCCACTATACTTGGCTATTTTTTGTATTTTTTTTTTTTTTTGGAGAGATGAGGTTTCAACGTGTTGCCCATGCTAGTCTCAAATTCCTGCACTCAAATCAATCCTCCTACCTCAGCTACCCAAAGTGCTGGGATTACAGGTGTGAACCACTATGCCTGATCTATTTATTTTTTTCAGACAGGGCTTCACTCTGTTGCCCAGGCTGGAGTGCAGTGGCATGATCATAGCTCACCGTAGCCTCAACCTCCCAAGCTCAGCTTCCTGAGTAGCTGGGACTACAGGTACAGGCCACCACATCAGGCTAATTTTTAAATTTTTTGTAGAGACAGGGGTCTCACTATGTTGCCTAGGCTGGTCCTGAACTCCTGGGCTCAAGTGATCCTCCCACCTCAGTTTCCCAATGTGCTGGAATTACAGGCATGAGCCACCGCACTTGGCCGAGTTATAGATATTTGTCCAGTGAACATGCAAATGATTTCTGTACAGTAGAAAAAATAATAGCAAAGGTTAGTGGCTTTACTATCCTGTAGGACATAAACCAGTTTTTTATCTAATGTAGCAATCTTATTCTAACATTCTTTCTTCATTTCCTATATATAGTTCCTCAAATGCTTTTTGAACTCATTTTGCCATCCTGCTGGTTCCTTCATTAATGAGTTAAAAAAACTTTTGACACATCATTTTATATTTGTATGACAGTTGTGTTTTTCTTTCTTTCTTTTTTTTTTTTTTGAAGCAGAATTTTACTCTTGTTGCCCGGGCTGGAGTGCAGTGGCAAGATCTCAGCTCACTGCAACCTCCACCTCCCAGATTCAAGCAATTCTCCTGCCTCAGCCTCCGGAGTAGCTGGGCTTATAGGCATGCACCACCACACCCAGATCATTTTGTATTTTTAGTAGACACAGTTGTGTTTTTCTTTGTTTTTTGAAACAGAGTTTCACTCTTGTTGCCCAGGCTGGAGTGCAGTGGCACGATCTCTGCTCACTGCAACCTCCGCCTCACAGGTTCAAGTGATTCTTCTGCCTCAGCCTTCCAAGTAGCTGGGATTACAGGCTTGCACCACCATGCCCAGCTAATTTTGTATTTATAGTAGAGACAGGGTTTTGCCATGTTGGTCAGGCTGGTCTTGAACTCCTGACCTCACGTGATCCACCAGCCTCAGCCTCCCAAAGTGCTGGGATTACAGGCATGAGGCACGGTGCCCGGCCTGACAGTTGTATTTTATAACTTTTTGAAAATTATGCTTTGGTAGCAGAGTCACATGGAACTTCTAAAACTTTAGTAGAGAATCACAGATCAGGAATTATATTAGAGTTGTTCCACTAGAAAAAAGTCTCTACATTCTACTCCAGGAGGGTGAAAATATTAAAGAGACAGAACAGAAATCACTAACAAAGTCAGAAGTACAAGAGCTAATTGAAAATAGTTGGTAAGGACTGAATATGAGAACAATACCCCAAACAAGCAATTTTCCCATCTCTCCTTCCATCCCTAAAGAACATATGATGATTGATTTGTTTTTACTCCTTGGCGGCATCTCACTGACTTTTTTAGTGGAACTTCTGTGATCCAAAGGATTAGACAAAATAAGCCAAGCAATGCCCTGGAGGCTGGTAACAGAATACGTCAAAAGGAGGGTGAGGATGGATGTGGCTATCCTAGCCCTTCCAGGCTACATACTTGGATTCATTCCCAAATTTAGGCAACGGGAGGGACTCCTGAGAAGTCTGACTGTAGGGCAGAGGACACACATGCTGCTATCCCTATCAAGGCCCCAGGGTGGAGCTTGCTGTGGTCTAGCAGCTGAGGCTTTGAGCTCAGAATTTCCACTGCAGCTGGCAACAGCTGGGTCACTGCTGCTGCTTCCCTGAAGAAGCCCTTCCGAGAACCAGGAGTTCCAGTCCTGGACTCCACGCCTCTCCTTCCCACATACCAGACTTTAGGATCCAGCAATATTTACTTCCTCTACAACCCAGGGAGAGACAACTGGGACAAAGGGAGGAAGTCCTTCTACACATGAGAAACATCCTTCCTAGAAAGGCTTCACTCCCTGCTCACAGCAGACAGAGGGCTCCGCCCACCTGCTCTGCTCAGCCTCCTTCTCCTCAGGACTCCTCTGGCACCTCTGTCATCCCTGCCTCTCCACAGTCCCTTTTTGGGATCCTTCAATCCTACATGCTGCCCTTGACTATTCTTATCCTTCAGACACAGCAAAAGATAAGGCAACTGTTCAGAACGGCAAAATAAAAGTCCCTCTGTATCTGTGGGCATCCCACTTGTGGATTCAACCAGCCATGGATTGAAAATATACAGGAAAAATATAGCCCAAAACAATGTTGGGTGCTATGCTTAGTACCAAGGTGACAAAATAATCTGTATGCACCAAATACCTGAATCCCGGTTTACCTATATAACAAACCTGCATATGCACCCTTTAACCTAAAATAAAAGTTAAAATATTAAAAAAAAAAAAAAAGAGCCGGGCGCGGTGGCTCAAGCCTGTAATCCCAGCACTTTGGGAGTCCGAGGCGGGTGGATCACGAGGTCAAGAGATCGAGACCATCCTGTTCAACATGGTGAAACCGCGTCTCTACTAAAAATACAAAAAATTAGCTGGGCATGGTGGCACGTGCCTGTAATCCCAGCTACTCAGGAGGCTGAGGCAGGAGAATTGCCTGAGCCCAGGAGGTGGAGGTTGCGGTGAGCCGAGATCGCGCCATTGCACTCCAGCCTGGGTAACAAGAGTGAAACTCCGTCTCAAAAAAAAAAAAAAAAAAAAAAAAGGATGGTTGCGGCCAGACACGGTGGCTCCAACCTGTAACCCAGCACTTTGGGAGGCCGAGGGCGGAAGGATCATGAGGTCAAGAGACCGAGACCATCCTGGCCAACATGGTGAAATCCCGTCTCTACTATAAATACAAAAAAATTATCTGGGCATGGTGACGTGTGCCCTGTAGTTCCAGCTACCCAGGAAACTGAGGCAGGGGAATTGCTTGAATCGCAGAGGCGAAGGTTGCAGTGAGCCGAGATCGCGCCACTGCACTCCAGCCTGGTGCCCGGTGACAGAGCGAGAATCTGTCTCAAAAAAAAAAAAAAAAAAAAAGGATGGCTGCATCTTACTGAACATGTACAGACTTTTTTCTTAATCATTCCTGAACGATATAGTATAGCATTTATTTACATGGCATTTTGTATTGTATTAGGTATTATAAGTAATGTAGAGATAATTTAAAGTATGTGGGAGCAGTGTGCGTAGGTTATATGTAAATATTACACCATTTAATTTTATATTATTATTTTTTGAGA